GAGTGGCGGCGCCGCGCGTGGGGCGGGAGAGGGGAGGCGGCGGGGGAGGGCGCCCGGCGGGGCGGGAATGAATGGGCGAGCGGCGTGGCCCCCTGCCCCGGGGGGGCGAGCAGGGGTGAAGATGGCTGCGCTGGGGAAAGCCGGGCCCACGGGCACCCCCATCCCCGAAAGAAAGTTAAAGCAATGGCCGGCAGAGCCAGGAGCAGGTGGAGCGCGCTGCGAGTTCTGCTTTCCTGGCAGCAAAACGCTGCGAGGCGCCTCGGGAAAGCGAGTTTTGCGCGGGACGCGTCCCCGGCAGGGCTGTCCTCTTCACTCGTGACCACGTCGCCTGTCAGGTCGATGAAGCGGATGCAAGCCGAAGGCTCAAAACACGTCGCTGAGCTGCATCGTTGCATCGCTGGGGATGGATGAAGCGGGTCGACAGGTCGTGGCGATTTAGGGCTGACCTCTGGAGCCTCTGGAGGAGGCTCGTTTGTGTTCGCTTGTGGGAGCCTGGAGAAGCGCTGGGGGAGTGGTGACCCGTAGTAACTGGTGCAGGTGTCAGGAGGATTTGATGCTTGACTGTGCAGAGAGGAGCTGCATTAGCTGGTAACAACAGTTCAGCACTGTTAGAAGTAAGAGGGGTGACTGGAAGCTTGACTTGTACCGAGCTGTTTATAAGTGAGAAATAGAGAATCTTTGGACTTCATTTCCTTTCAGGATAATGTAAATGGAATTCATAGCCCGATGTCACCAAGACTCACGATTTAATTTGCGACTATGTCCTCAGGTGGGTCCAGTGGTGCTTCATCAGGTCAGGTTCAGCACTGCAGAAGTAAGATTTCTGGGGCTGTTTTTGGAAGCTGCCTATGTGGAATTGTGAATTTGGAGTTAGAAGATCCTATCAGAAGTACATGGAATTATTTTTTCCTATCCCAAATCTCTCATAGGTACATTGGTATCCTCTGCAGTTTAGACTGTTAGATCTTGTATTGAGATCGAATGTTGCTGAGTAGACTTGTCATTAGCAAAGGTGCAAATCTTGCAAATTAGCTTCAGTTCTGTTCCCTTCATGTTTCTTAAGTCATCTGCATGTGCATCAAGTATTGTCACTTTTCAACTCTCCTCTGACTTGAACCTTTCCTGGAAACATGGGACCACATAATACAGCCATTTTCTGCTTGGATCTGGTGTCTCATGTGCTCTCACAGTGTGTTGTGGCTGGTCAGGTCTGAGTGTTGATGCGTTTTTTAGGTGTATACTTTTAAGGACATGGATCAGCTGTTGCTGCTGATGGAACTTAGCCTGTATAGATGGGGTGGTAGCTCAGTGGTGAGGATGCAGTCAGATTGCTGTGGATGCTTCTGGATTAGCAGGAGCGTGGTGCTGCCTGTTCACGTTGCGTTGGAAGTGACTCCCTTACCTGCCATTTGTGTTACGAAGTGCCCTGCTTTGCTGCGCTGTGGGGATTTTTTTGTGCAGCTTCCTCTCAGAGCTAAACTTCTGTTTCTTGTCAGTCACAACACAGGGATAGAGCTTCAAGAGAAGCATCATGTTGCCACCAGACTGCCATTTACTTTTTGGCACTGCAAGAACATGTCATTTTTGCTTTTGCTTAAACACAGCAATAGTCTGGATCTCCTCCTGCTTAAGTAAAGGCAACGATGCAGCTGGATCCAGCTTTCTTGTGCTGGAAAAAACCTTTACCATCGACCATCTTCACTGATAGAGGATGTGGCCAAACTCTTTGCCTGCAAGAAACTTCCAAGGCTGATGAGAATGCACAGCCATCCTTCCTGTGCAGTGATTTATATAGGGAATCCAATGTGGTCATAGGGAGCTACAGAAAATAGAGGCCTTTCTTCTTGAGGGCTTTCCCAACTGTGCTGGCATTGTTGATGTGTGTTGCGATGTCCTCATTATCTGCTTGTGTCTCATCAGACTTGATTCATTATCGATGAAAGGAGATACAGATCCTTCTGCCAGTGAGAACCAAGACAGTCTGATTTGAAGAATGATATGACAGACTACTTATTGCTGTGTTCTTAAGTTCTGTGTGTCGTATTAAAAGCAACCTGTAATTTTTTGTGCTCACAGGCAGTCTAGAGCTTTAGCTTTGAGCCCTCTGTTGCTTCCCTCTGGTGCTGCCTCATGACAGTCACAGCTTATCCTCTGTAGAGGAAAAATGCAGGGGTATATTAAATGTTGCAACACAGAGGGAAGAATGTGTATATTATGTGTTTATTAAAAATAACCTGAAATGATTAGTAGATGTGTAGCTATGAAATTGGAGTGGAGTTGGGAAGTGGAGACATCTTGTTAGCTGCCAAGAGTCAGTGTTGTGCCATTCCCTGGTGGATTCTTTCTTCTATACAGTATCTCCTGCACATTTCTACCACTGGGAGGTTTTTGAGAGGCTGTGGGGAAGTATGGCTTAATCTTTAGTTGGATCCTCATGGGTGGTGGGATGACAAATCCAGGAACTGTCTCTGAAGTGACAGTACGTCCTGACTGGGAAGATACGAGGAGGTCTGTCTGCTCTTTGTGTTAACTTAGGCTACTCCTATTTCTCAGTCTAACATGAGCTCAGCAAAGATTGCTGATGCTGTTTGACTGTACTGTGTGGTTGCCCTGCAGTATACATAGCCAACTTCAGAATTTGCAGTTATCTCATTGCCTCTGAATCCTTGGGTACTTTTTCTTTCTGCCATATCATGGCTATGGCCTCTTGGATGCTGGGAACCAATCAAGGGAAGTAGTGATGGTTCTCCTTTTCTCCAGTAGATATGGGTCCTCATTACTGGTCCTTTTTCCCTGCTGTTTTTCTGTTCTTCCTGTGGTGGATCAGATTATGGCCAGAACTGCAGTGTAGGGAACAGGAACTGGTGTAAGGATCTTCAGCATCTCTGTGAAGAGAGGAGAGCGAACGAGCTGGTGGTAGGAGCCTTTGTATGTAGGTTCTAGACATGTGTGGAAGAAGGGGGTTGCAGAGAGGTGACTGCTGGAGCAGCAGTAGAGATGGGTGGTCCCACTGCTGAGATCTCTATGTCTCTTCAAGCAGCTTTTAACCTGAGTGGTGGATCTATGTCACTTCAGGTCAGCAAAAACCTTTAGTCAAGGTAAGAGCTGAGTCGGTGCTGATGCTGTTACTGTGCTTGGTTATCTGTGGATATAGTAAGCTTGTAGACAGAAGCACTTATGTGTTCATTTAGATTTCAGTGGAAGTCTTAATGTCTCAGACTTTGAATGAGTCATGGCTGACTTAAGCTAAAGTTTAGTATTGCAAATTCCAGAATCTTAGTTAAATCTTAGTACTTTGTCTTGAACTGGAGAGAGGATGTGGAGACAGGACAAGTGTAAATGCTGGGCTTCAGGCTTCTCCTTCAATTGTAATGAGTTCTCTGAGTAGATAATTAGTTCTGTTTGGCTGGATCTGTATTTGTTTTTTAAGTGTTGCTGCCATGAAAAGTGAGAAAAGTAGGAGAGGATGCAGAAATAGCGATTAAGGGATGAAGTGGGCTTTGTAGTCTTTAAGTGGCATGTAGCACAGCCTCAGCGGGATGGCACGTCCTGTGACTTGAGTTTGAGTAGGGGCGATGCTGAAATGTCCTTTTTATAAACAGGTAGGGCCTGCCTGGCACAGTTTGACAAAACAACGAGGCCTGGGGCCTGCACAGCAGTTATCTGTACTTGGGCGGGTGACAGCTTGTTTGTCTCTCCTAGGAGCCTTCAAGCAGACTTGAGTGATACTGTAGCAGCCATCTCCCTTTTGCTGTGTTTCGTGGGGGACCTGTCTCTCATGACAACTTGATCTTCATCCTGAAATTCATGCTTTTCCTCTAAGGGCTTCAGATGACTAGAATGATTTAGTATTTGGTCAAGTTCTTTGCGGTGCACGTGGGGCACCCTGCCAGGTTGATTGCACCAGTTACTTTCCTTACCCTCTTTATGGGTTTGAATTGGAGTGGTGCAGAGCTAAGTCCCTTTGATGTCTGTAATAAAGCATTTACGCAGAGGGAGCGTGGTCCATCCTTTTTAGTGTTGCCAAAAAGATGCCGCTGTGCACAGATTAAATCACAGTTCATGGAGGTCCAAAGCCATGTGGACCTGGTTACTGACCATATGGTTTCAAGCCTGGTTGGCTCTGCTGGCGTGGGACTGTTTAGAAAACAGTAACATGCTGTTCCTCAAACTTTCACCCGACTAGGCAAGGCAGGATCCAGTGCAAAACAAACAAATTCTGATGCAGGAGTTGACGGCAAAGAGAAATGTGAAACAGGCAGTTATCTGTGGGACAAACCTGACTATAGAGAAGGGCAGCAGTCAGAGCTACATAGACACAGCTGCATTTGAGCTCAAAGTTAGAAGGGAGCAGGAGGGATTGACGGGAAAATCTTACAGACTAGCTATTCAGATACGTGCTAAGTGAACCAGCAGCGTTTCAGAATTTACTCCTTCCAAAGTGTTTAACAAATTTAAATTGACAGCATGAGTTAATAGTGGCTCAGCACTGTTCGAGTTTGTTACTGGTCTCACAGTAACTATTCTAAAACTAGATTTACTATTTCATGAAGTCATGGCCTAAGGTGCTGCAATACCAAAAAGTTGTCTTGCTCAGTAGTATGCCTCAGTTTAGTAAAGATTTCACCAGAAGAGGCAGTTCCTTGAGTGACTAACTGCCAACTCTACAGTATGCTAAAGTTACAAAATGAAAAATGGCGAGTGGTGGCAGCGTGAAGGAAAGTACCCCCAGGTCTTTAATGTTATTTCTTTTGCCAAAGGCTTGAATGTTAACCTTTGGATGTCTGGAGATGAAATTGAGAAAATGCCTGTAACTACTTCAGTTCCAGAATAACCTGGTCAAAAACGCTTAGCAGCAACTTGGACAATTTGTAGAAGGGAGACAGGGACTTTTTTTCACTGTTGTGTTTGGAAAAAAAAAAGGGAAATTTCCATTGTAAAATAAGATAGGACTGAATAACAGGAGAGGATGGGAGGTGGGGTGAAATGTAATTGGGAGGAGTGAATAACAAAACTGCAGAAAGGGCAACAGTTAGGTGATGTGAAGAGAAGGGAAATTATGAAGGTGGTAGAAGAAATCATCTGGTAAACTTTGTTGTAAGTTGTGATAAATTCAGTTTGGAAAAGCTTTTTATGGTTTTCAAGAGAAAAGAAGATGGACAATTCAGGATTACCACCAATTTTGGAAGTGACAAATACCCTTTCACTTCTGAAAATGGGATGATGAGTGCAGTGTGTCCTTATTGTCTTGATCATGTTCTGCTGTGATTTGGTTAAAAAAAAATAATCTTTAGCTTGTATGATCACTTCAAAATTTTTTGCTTTCAAATTATTTCCTTTCCTTCCATTGCCCCAAATCCCCCAATCAAAAAATAAACCCTAATTCATAAAGATTTTTAGGTCTTTTGGAGTGTTAAGACATGGCTTGCTTTGGGTTTTTTCAATTGACAAGATGTTTGCTGTTGCAGAGGTGCAGACCACTGAGCACTAACGGTTATCTTTGTTTTGTTTCGGTCTTTTACAAAATACAAAGTTTGTTGTAAGATGTTGGGAAGTGTTTTGTGGTCAACATTGAATGCAGTGTGGACTACATTTTGGGGTGTCTTTTGTATGGCTGCTAATAGTGCTGGCAAACTACAACTTACACCCCAAAGGTCCTTCCACTTCACTATTTGTTGAGCAGTGCAATTACTTCTCTTGTGTAACTAGCCTGAGGTTGGATGCTGTTTATTTGCCTTGTAGATGTAAAGCAGGATCCCTCTTAAAGCTCTGTCTGTGGTCCTGCCATGCTTCCCAGTTGGAAATCTACGTATTCCTGTGACTTAATGTGCAGTGCGTGTGCATAGTGCATGTAAAGAAGTTGTTCCATGAGCAGCTGAGCCTAGTGAACCTTTATTTATTAGAGATTTGTGCCCTCTGCTCCTCAGCCAATCCCCCTTTCCAGTTTTTGTGTGGGGTGGAGGTTTTTTCTGTATTCATGTCATCCTTTAGCAGCACTGCTGATTTACTTTCATTCCGTCTCTGTCTCTGCCGCAAACCAGCTCACTGCTATAGTATTTTTAATTCCTTCTCTTTTTCTCTAATTACAGACTGAATCAGACATTGCTTGTTCTGCAGGTTTTAAGACTTTGCATACTGACCATTCATGTACTGATTACAGGCTAAAAAGAGCCAGTAACTGTTAAGTGAAATATTCAGCCTTAGCTTCAGTGGAGGCGTTTCTTTCATTCTCTGCTCAGTTCCCGATTTTCATGAAACTTGTAGAAATTTAAAATGAGACTGGATTGCTTTGTCCAATTTGATTGGCATCAACTCTAGGGCAATGTGTTTGTGTAAGCCTCATTTCCATAAGAAACCGGGGTAAAAATGCTTTAGGAATAAATTAGGAAAACTTGGTTTGGATGCATATTTTTAGATTAGTTGGTAGTCTAATATATATTTAGACAGCAAAAGTAATGTTAAAATGACACAAAAAACTTTGTGTGTTTTGAAACAGTGAGTCTTACAAGACCTTGAAATTAGGTTGATAGCTTAGCGTGATAATCATGTAACATCTGTTTAATTTTAACCTACAAGAAAAAAGCCTGTGCATTTCACATAAATGTCCAAATACTCATTTTCACCATAGAGGTACCTCCCACGTTTACGTGAAATTGACTTCAGAACATGGTTAGACTTGGTTTTCTGCTTATTACAGTAGCTGATCAGGGTATATTCTGTGGGAAATAGTGGAATCTAGCCAAATCATTAAAAATTATTTGCATTTCAGAGGGGTTTTTTTTTGCTTGTTTGGGTTTTTATTAAGGTCTTGCAAAAACAGTAATTCTGAGAAATTTCCATCTTTGGGGTGAGGCAAACAATGTTTTGACTACAGAAGATTCACTGCTGTGTTTTTTGGTTTTTTTTTTTTTTAATAGTACTTTTTATTGTTATTTGGGCAGCAGATGAAGTAGTGGAATGTAAAACATTCTTTTCATAATGGATAAAATCTTTATGAGCAGCAGCATTTGTTTTTCATGTAATTAGTGAAGGGAAAACTGTTTAACAGAAAAAAACAGGGTCTAGGCTTTAGGCTGCTGTTCTTGAAATTTTTTGTCTTTGTCAAAACCAGCTAATTTGTTTTGAAACTTTACGATAAAGGTGCAGTTTTGAAATGGCTTTATCTGAGTGGCACTGTTTCAAAGTACTTTTTGTTTTCATTTTACATGTGTATTGTAAATAAACCCACTTCAGATCTTAGAAGACAACTGAGAAGGCAAGTCAGATTTATCAAATGAAACGTAAACTTAGCTCTTCATCGCCTGGGTTCTTTTTTTGTCTTTTGCTTTCATATTTTTTTTACACACATAAGAAGGCCTGTTGCTAAATACAAGCTTTATTTTTCAAATTCTGTTGATGTAAAATGACTTGCAAAAGTTGGAGAAATCCGTATTTGGATTTCTTTATGAAGTAATACCTGTGCAAAAGTTCTGTTTTCTAAAATGGAAGGGCAAAAAGCACGTGTGGTTATTTAGGAAAGGCAAAGAGTTGAAATTAACGTTGACAGCTAACTATACAGATTTTTTTTCCTTTATTGCAGGAACTGAAGCTTCGTCTTTAAAAGGTGCAGTGCTGTGAAAACTGTTATTGACGATAAAAAAATGGACATGTTGCAGATACTACGTAAAACCACAGAGCGCTTAGAGTGTGATCACTGTAGCTTCAGAGGAACGGACTATGAAAACATACAAATTCATATGGGTACCATACACCCAGAGTATTGTGATGAAATGGATGCTGCTGGTTTGGGTAAACTTATATTTTATCAAAAAAGTGCAAAACTTTTTCACTGCCACAAATGTTTCTTTACCAGCAAGATGTACTGCAACGTGTATTATCACATAACAGCACAGCATGCAACACCCGAGAAGTGGAATGAAAAGCGGAAAGAACAGGCAGAAGGAGATTCAGATTCCTCCAAGAAAAGTGTCACGTTGGAGCTACAGAAACCTACCCTTTCCCCTGAGTCGTGCAAACCTGCCCTTTCTCCTGAACTCCCCAAATCTGAACCTGTTGTTTCCCCCAAGCTTCAGAAATCGTCAGTGTCCCCAGAGCCCCAGAAGTCGGCTCAGGCGACTTCCTCAGAGGCAGAGAAGTCAGCCCAGGCCACGTCCCCAGATCCAGAAGAGTCAGCCCAGGCCACATCTCCTGATCCAGAGAAGTTAGCTTCAGCTGTATCCCCAGATTCAGAGAAGCCGCCTCCTGCTGTGTCCCCTGACCCACAGAAGCCATCTCCTGCTGTGTCCCCTGACCCACAGAAGCCAGCTCCGGCTGTGTCTCCAGAGCCCCGTCGGCATTCCCCGGCTGTGTCTCCAGAGCCCCGTCGGCATTCCCCGGCTGTGTCTCCAGAGCCCCGTCGTCATTCCCCTGCTGTATCACCAGAGCCCCGTCGCCACTCTCCTGGTGTGTCTCCGGAGCCTCGCAGATACTCCCCAGCTGTGTCACCAGAGCCAAAGAAACCTACTCCAGCAGTATCCCCCGAACCGCGAAGGTATGCCCCGGCTGTGTCTCCTGAGCCCCGGCGGCATTCTTCTCAAATGCGTAGGCCTGCTTCTGCTTCTTCTCCTGAAAGCCGGAGGCCTGGTCCTGCAGTTTCGCCAGACTCATGGAGACCTGGTCCAACTGTTTCCCCCGAGCCCTGGAGATCTACACCTCATGAGGTGCAGAAGTCTTCCGCAGTTTCTCCCTGGGCTCCAAAGCCTGCTGTGTCAGTGTCCATAGAATCCCGGAGGTCTGCACCTGAGTCTCGAAGGCCTGGCCCTGTTGTGTCACCAGAGCCTAGGAGGCTTGTTTCTGACTCGTGGAAATCTACGTCCTTTTCTGAATCCCAGAAGTCTACTCTTGTTTCTTCTGAGCCGTGGAAACCCATCTCATCTGTTTACCCTGAAGGCTGGAAACCTGTTCTGTCCCCTGACACATGGAAGCATTCTCCCCCTGTTTCTCCTGAGCTTCGCAAGTCTGGTCACACAGTTTCCTCTGACACTTGGAAGCCTTCTTTCTTTCCTGAGGTCCGTAAGCCTGGCGCTTCGGTATCTCCCGAATCTTGGAAACTCTCTGAGTCCCGGAAATCTATGTTTTTTTCTGAAACTCAGAAATCCACCTCTGCTGCTTCCTCTGAGATTCAGAAGCGGGCTCATTTCCCTGAACCTCGGAAAAGGGCTTTGTTCCCAGAGTCTCGTAAATCTAGTCCTAATGTTTCTACCGATGTCCAGAAACGTGCTGTCTTTTCTGAGCCCCAAAATCAGGTGTCTACTTCTGCTGTTTCTACTGAAGGCCAAAAACATGCCCTATGTTCTGAAGCCCAGAAATCAGCTCTTGTTTCTCCTGAAGTCCAGAAGCATGCCCTATTTTCTGAGGCCCAGAAACTTGCTCCGATTTCCCCTGAAGTTCAGGAGCATGCTTCCTTTCCAGAATCTCAAAAATCATCTTCTCCTGAAATTCAGAAACATGGCTTCTTCACCGAGTCCCAAAAGCCTACTCCTTCCGTTTCTCCCGAGACCCCCAAACAAGCTGTTTTTACTGACTCCCAGAAATCTGCTGTTTCCCCTGATATTCAAAAGCATGCTGTATTTTCTGAAATGCAGAAACCTGCTGCTGCTCTATCCTCTGATGTCCAGAGACATGCTGAAACTACTGTACTTTCTGAAATCCAGAAGAACATCCTGTTTTCCGAGCCTCACAAGTCTGCTCCAGGTTTTTCCTCTGAGCCCCAGACACCTAGTGAGTCTGGTGAGAGTGACTTTCTTTCTCACAGTTTAGATGATCAGAAACCACTGGATGATTTATTCTCACAGGATGAACAATCAATATTAGCCAAAGAATCACCAGATGACATCTTATATTCATGCCCAAAAAAGAAGCCCAAGAAGGAAAACCAGGAGAACTCAGATTCTGAACTAAATAGCAGTGAGTGTGGAAAGACAGAGATGGACTCAATGGAGATAAAGGAGCAAGAATCCAACAGTGACCAAGAGCAATATGATATGGAGCCATCTGATTATGGCAAAGAGAGCAAAATAGATGCAACTACTCCCATGCAGCCACAGTGTGTGCTGCAGTTTACTGAAGAGAAAGAGGCTTTCATCTCTGAGGAAGAAATAGCAAAATACATGAAGCGTGGCAAGGGAAAGTATTATTGCAAAATTTGTTGCTGTCGTGCGATGAAAAAAGGTGCTGTCTTGCACCATTTAGTTAACAAGCATAATGTTCAAAGCCCATACAAATGCAAAATATGTGGCAAAGCTTTTCTCTTGGAGTCTCTTCTTAAAAACCATGTTGCTGCTCATGGTCAAAGTTTGTTGAAGTGTCCACGTTGTAATTTTGAATCAAATTTTCCCCGAGGCTTTAAGAAACATTTAACCCATTGCCAAAGCCGTCATAGTGATGATACACCTAAAAAACACTTGGACAGCCTTGAACCACTTGAAGAACAACTTTAATCTGGTTTTTAACTTGTGCTAGAAAAGATGGATTTACAGAAGTGTTCAACAGTGTTGCTGTATGTTAACCGAGTAGTTTAGCTGATCTGACAAGTCAGAAGATGCATGGTTTATTGTACTATGTTTAACTTGTCTTATAGCTGTATTACTGAAACGATTTACTTTCGAAAGTCATTTTAAATACGTGTTCACGTCTTTGTATTATCCATCGGTAGAGTCATATTTTATTTTTCAGATGTACTATGTTTTTGAAACCAAAATGGATACAAATTAGTTTTTTAAAGATTTGTAAAACATACAGGCAATTAAGGACTGAGTGGCAAGCGATCCATATATTCCTGTGAAGACTGAACTTGTTTTTTCATATTTGTTAAATGTTGTATTTTTCAAAATGTTTTTATCAAATTCTCAGAATTAAAATTCTCACCAAATTGAATGTGAATAAGCCAGGTATGACAAACTACCAATCCATCTGGAGTAGTTTTGCCCTAAGGTTGTAATTGAGTGTATAGTCATTTGTTGGAAATTTATTGCACTCAATTCTCTAACTTAACTTGTCTCAGATTTAGAAGCATCAAGGTACTTATTTTGTGACTGTATTTTGGCCATGTTTTAAGCATGTACTAATATACCTTAAATCGATGGATTAACGTCAGACTATGTATAGCTCAACACTTTCTCTTGATGATTCAGATGTTTGTAATGTCAGAAACCCCCTAAATTTCTTGTATTTGGTGAAATGTTATGCTTTAATCTTTTAACAATAAAAAGAAACCCAACCTGGCATTGGCCATTTTTCTTTTTTTCCAAATCAAGAACAAAACCTTTCACATTGAACATAATGTCTTTTAAGTGTCTTTGGCAACAGGAGATGCAAAATTATCTTGGAGTTCTACTCTGAATATTTAAACTTTATAGTCATCAGCCTGTGAAAGCAAGGTTAGTCTGAATTTCCTGTGTGCTTCAGAAAAACATCTAAATGTGAGAAAACATGGAAAACAGGAATTTGTGCACTGTTATTTAGCATGTTTGCTTTGTGTTATTTGTATCCTAACTGTTGAAAAACTGTAAGTACTTTATAATTCAGCAGGAGTATAGATTTTAAGTGGAGATAGTACAAGGAAGGTTTCAGTCTCCTCAGTCTAAATTATTGCTAGACTTCAGCTGTTGTAAACATTGACTTAAAATATGAAGATGATAGTGTAAAATAAATAATAATAAAAAAATCCCCAGGTATAAGGTCCTACCTAAGAGCTTCAGATTGTTTTCATTGAAGCCTGTGTCTGATTATCTTCTGTATTTCAGGAGGATTTCTGGAAGGAAGGGAAAAAGCATTTAAAGCTCTACTTAGGTGACTTCTCAGTGCTGCTTAGTAAGAGCAAGTTTTTTGCAGGGTCCTGTCACACAGGACCAAACCCACTCTGGCCCCTAAGTCAGGTGCCCTTCATTTTCTTTCATGGGGTTCAGATTAGAATTCTAGAATTTTTTTCCTAGGTAAATCTAAAAGAGAACATGGCTCTGCTAGTATAGTCTCACTTTGTATAAAAGCTGCTTTTCTCCTCTGCTATTATTTCATCACTCTTGGCAGTCATTTGGTTAAGAAGATTTGAATAAAAAGAAGAAATCAAGGAAGGATTTGTTTAAATTGGAAGTGGTGTCACCTTTACAGTTTGATGTCTCGCTACTGACAGATACTTATTTCTCACTGATGTGTACCAGTTAACTTTGATTTCTGGGAACCTATCATCAGGCCTTGATGCACAAAATTAGGTTTGTGGTTGGACTCAATCTGAAGGGTCTTTTCCAATCTGCATGATTCTGTGATTCTGTGCTCTACATTTTATTTTCTTCCAACTCCTTGATTCCTTAATCTTGATTTACAACTGTCAAAGTGTACTTTATGACTCTTGAATGTGAACTTTGCGAGTCCCCACGATCTCAAGGCATTCAGTCTCTTTACATGCCAGTACGATGGGCACTTTCCCGTTTCTCAGTACATAAATTCGTCAAAGCGTTGTGGAAGTTGAAGGACATTTCTGGTGTATGTGTTTTTATCCAGACTAAGTATTCTTTCACCATTCCCTTATGCAGTGCTAGTTTGAGCTCCTTAAGATGTGTAGGAGGATCTTCTGGAATCTGAACTAATTTAATTTCTCTAAGGAATTGTAGGACACCAGTAGACAGATCAGACTGATGACTGGTTGTTTCCCTTTCAGATGACCTATTATAGATGCGAAGGAGAAGGATGAATTTTGACATAAGAAAGAAATGCAAGTGAATACTTCAAGATTTACCAGTGAAAGAATTGGCTTGAAATATGCCTAATGCTATAATTTAGTCCTTGGGTAATCTGTGACATAACTTCAGTTGAAATTGTTACAAATATAATTTCATATGTTAGAGTATGAAGCAAATACAGAGGTCTGTTTCCCATATTAAGTCACTGGGGCATTTTACCAAAGCCCTCAAGTGTTCTGTGCTACCATCTTACTCATTCCTGTTCTTGAGCACAGGGACCCTTTGGGATTAGTACTGTGTAGTTCTAACTTCAGGTTTCCTCTGGAGATGGTTTGCTTGGGAAACAGCACGATCAGGTTAGGAGATAGTAACTGAGACAAGCACAAAGGAAGTTTACAGATAGACATTTATATATACACAGGTATAACTGCAGTTCCCTCTCTGAACCCTGTGGGCTGCTCCTGCCTGAGAAAAAAAAGTGTAATTACAGCCCTTAGATGTAAAGAAGACAACTCTACTTTCCTACCCCCACCCCCCCAAAAAAAGAGGCTATTTATAGCCAATGCTGAGAAATGTGGCAGACAAAATATTTCCAAATACAGTATTATAGTCTGTCCAGGGTATGCAGTGGTTCATAGGTCATGCATACAAACATGAAGTAATTACCTTTGTAGAAAAGAGATCAGAAACCCATTTGGAGCCACTGTATTAGGGTCCAGAGAAAGTGTAAAGCTCCAGTTGGAGTGGGGCAGGAAAAGAATCTTGTTTAAGTAACAGAGATTAGTACAATTAAACTTGGATTTTTTTTAATGGATTTTTGTAAATATCCTTAGATCTTTTCAATCATGCTTAAGAATAATCTTGGGATTGGATGTAGCCATTTGTATATACTTAGAATTCCTTTCTCTATGTATATTGATATATTTCTTGCTTAATCTCATGAAATTTTAGAAGCAGAAAATCTTGTAGAAAATAGAATTATTGCAGGTTTTCCTATGGATACATAGTTTTGTACTCCAGGTTTTTATCATGACTGTTCAGTGATGTAGAACAGCACACTCATATCTTGGTGGTAACATGAGTGCACTGAGATCACCATAACTATTGCTATGCTCATATGTATGTATTTTTAAAAGGAGAAAAGAGCGGAAGAAGTTGAACTGTTTCCTACATACTGCTGTCATGACCTCATCTGAAGAAACTTTAAGTAAGTTGATCAAATAATTGCTCTTCTAAAAGTGTATAAGAACATTGTTGTTGCTTATTTTCCATGGGTAATGAGAAAGGTTGTTCAGGAAACTATCAAAACTAGATAAATTAATTTAAAACTTGCGGAATGCAGAATTTAGGAAAGTAAATATGAAACTGAAAAGCAAATAGATGAAGGTGTAGGGTTCCACCTGAATACAAACCTTTCTGTAGGTGCTTTGTAATAGACTTTGAAGGTGTGATTGTGCCCTTTTAAAATACGCAATATACATGAACGTTTCGCAGTATAGTATTTCGCATTTTCTTTCCTGTAGGTTTAAATGACTTAGTTTAACATGTATACAACCCCCCCTCCCCAACAAAAACACAAATACACACTCTCCAGTTTCTAAGGGATTTCTTGGTCAAAAAAGAAGTTAAAAAGTTTGCTTTTTAACTAATAATATTACCTAGCCATGATTGTTGCATGAATGTTGGTCAGTTATCTCTAAAGATCACAAACTTAAGCATCCTATGTATAAATAACACTGAAAAATTATATATAAAATATATATATATAATTTTTCAATGTTATTTTTTAAAGCTTCAGGGTCTTGAGAAGGAGTATACACATTCCTTCCATGTGTATGTAAGTAACTTGAATGCATTCTGTGCATACTACTTGTGGCTGCAGTTCAATGTAGAAAGAGTGACGTTAACTAAAAGCCAGTGGAATTACTTTACTCATGACATCACAGAAGTCTCTGAAGATTAGTTTTCTCTGCTTCCCAAGTATTAGAGAACATTGTTTCTCGCAATGACAAATAATACATATTAATGAAAGCATAGCAAAATAATTTCCTGCCTTTGCAGTATATCCTCAATACATATGTGGGTATAATACAATATAATCAACTAAGATTCTCTGAATTTTCCAAGAATGTTACTTTAATGGATTATGTGTATGAGAAAATGCTCCTATATGAACTTCTAGGAAGATGTCAGTGAAAACAGCAGTTCCTTTTATGTGATGATCATCCTGGAAGAGACATGTTTTCTGTATATGCCTGGAAGGACACAGGTTTGAGTTCATGAGGAATGCTTGATGGAAAGTACAAAATGGAATCTGAGAAAAAAGAAAACAGAGGATACTGCTGTTCTAGAAGGATGTTGTTTTTCAGCTAAATTAGCTGTGCCATATGTGCAGTACAAACATTTTCATCTTTTTCTTGAAAAAAGTGTTAATAATTCTATGGAATGTCCAGTCATGTTTTTAAATTACATTTTCACAAGCATTCAATCAGAAGTAGTCTCTGCAGAGAACGGAGAGGTGTTTTTCAGCAAAGGCCATTTCTGTCACAGATTACAACTTAATTTCGTTTGATATTTGGGAAAAGATTCTTGCAGGAATTATTACTTTTAGTATTAAATATCTTCTTTCAATGTATCTGAGAATATCTAAATATCTGTCTAGCTGTATCAGTATGTTGCTTAAGATCTAGATCAAAAAATCATGCAGAATGTAATCACTACAATATTCTGAGAAAATGCCTCTAAAAGAAATACTAAATTTTAGTTCATTTAGTCGAAGCCAAATCAAAGTAATTTTTGAATTTTTGCTTATTTTTAGTGTCTGACATACTTGACCAGATATTTCTTCTGAGTTGTACAATCAAAATAATAGGTTTTTTCATTTTCCTCATTGTGTGTTGGGTTTATGTGTGTGTGGCAGGGTTTTTGGTAGCGGGGGAGGGGACTACAGTGGTGTCCCCTTGTGAGAAGCTTCTCAAAGCTCCCTCAGCTCCAGGTTGGACCCATGTCTGTGCCAGGGCCAAGCTAATTAGTGATGGTGGCTGTGCCTCTGCGGCAACATATTTTAAGAAGGGGAGCCTGGAAGGAGGAGTTGCAAGGAAAACACCTAGGCAAATACCAAGGTCAGTGGAAGAAAGAAAGAAGGGGAGGTGTGCCCGTGTGGAGACCCCTTGCAGCCTGTGGTGAGAGAGCGGGGCCGCCTCCCTGCCACCCATGGATGTCACCGGTCGAATAGATGCAGCCCGTGGAGAACACCAGCATGTTGGTGTTTGGCACTGGGAGGACTGCAGCCCTCGGGAGGGACCCATGCTGGAGCATTTTAGGAAGAAAGCATCCCATGGGAAGGGCTCATGCCAGAGAAAGTTGGTGGAGGAGTGTCCCATGAGAGGGACAGCATGCTGGAGCAGGGGAAGAATGCGAGGAGTCTGCTCCCCCAAGGAGGAAGGGAGCAGTGGACTTCCAGTAACCCCCATTCCCTGCCCCCTGTACTGCTGGGGAGGAGGTAGAGAAACTGGGAGCAAAACTGAGCCTAGGAAG